AGGGTAGAAACCAGACTGGCAAACACCTCAGCAGCCTCCTCTGTGTCACCTGTCGACAACGTGCTGTGAACAGAGCTAGCTAGATGGCAGAGTAACCGCAGAACCTACTCTCCTCACCACTGCCTATGAAGAGGACCAAGGTGTAGAGCAGAGGTATAATGTTCATCGTCAGGATGGAGAGGGAGAGGTAGGCTACTGTTCCCCAGCGTTGCTCCTGACATTGACCAAAAAGCAACAGTAGAGCAACACTGAGCAACACTGAGCTACATCTGTGGAGAAAAAGGAGAACAAGTGCCTCATTCCTTCATTTACCAACACTTTTCAATTCCCAACATTTAATAATGAAACAACTGGAATCCTCTTTCTAAATCTTCATACATTTGTATTTTTGACCATGGTATAATCACAACAGAATATACTTTAAGACAAAATTATTTTTTGTTTTGGTCTCATTTGACGCAAATGTGGACAGGTAGTAAGTGTGATACATCTAACAACCTACTGTATAATATCAGAGGTAAGAGATGAGGTCAAGAAATTTGAATTGGAAAATTTTGTCTGTTTTTAAATACGGAAATATAAGGAACAGTTACCTTTGAATCTTGGGAACTCCCCACCAGGACCCCAACTGAGACTAGCCTTGATGCCCCCGGCATACATTAGCAGTACGAGTAGCGTCCATAAACAAGGCTCCAGACAGAATCAGGCTCAGGTTCATCAGAACATGCACAGAGAAAATACAACAGAAGAATGGCAGAGAGGAAGAGGAGTGCTGTGTGGCTGTATCTCAAGCGGAAAACGAGACAACAACAAAATGTGGGATTTGTAAAATGCTAGTCAGGTATAGTGGAAACACTACCAATTTATATAAACATATATAAAAAAAACATCCAAAAGAAAACATGGAGCTACAAAAACAGAGAGAGGAGAGAAAAAATGTTGATAATAAAGCATTTTTCTATTTAAATATAAACTTTGTCCTAATTTTGTCCAGGGTTTTAACTATTCAATAATATAGAAGGAAACATCACAAAAAACACTTAAGGTCATGAAAATTAATTAAGATTTAGCAATTAAATGATGCATCCACCTTATTTATTGAACAGTATCGGATTGGTATCGGTATCGCCAATTCTCGCCCGTATTTACTCGGTATCGGATCGATACCAAAATATGCAGTATCGCACACCACTAACGGCAAGGGCTACGTTTTATTGGTTAAACACAGTCACACGTTAGAGCCTTGGGCGGAAGTCGCTCTCTGACAAAATAAAAGTAGAGCTAGCTTTATCCAGTATCTTTGGTAAAAGTAACGAGCTCAGTATAGCCTAATGTAGCAGAGTAACAGTACTGTTTCGTCTTTATAAATCTACTCAAGTAAAAGTAAAAAGTATAGTGATTTAAAACTACTCCTAGAAGTATTCTACTTTGAAAAACTCAAGTAAGGTTGAAAAGTTCTGTTAGGCAACTGGATGTGAATTTTCTAAAAGAAGACGTTTCACTTCTCATCCAAGAGGCTTCTTCAGTTCTTACTGGTGGTGGGGAGTACAAATATATACTATGGGTGCAACAAAGAAAAAAGCTACTTCAGCTTCCCCCCTGTGGGTGGGGCATCGGGGTCAAACAGTCATTAGGAGCCTGAAGGGTCGTTGCCATCCTCATCAGAGTGGTTTCGGTCACACGTCTCTTTGTTGTGTGAAATTGAGTAAAATCAATTGGGTATTGTTCCTAAGAGGGCGTAGTATGTGGGTGATAAGATGTGTCTCAGCCCACCTTTTCTGTTGAGTGGTGTTTTTTCCAGGTTGACAAAGGTTGTTGTCCTCGAAGGTGTGACATGAAACGTCTTCATGTCACTCTTGCTCTCGAAGAAGGCGGACGCTTTTTCCCTCTGCTCCCTCCCTGCCCTTACCTCCCCTGCTACTGCTCTGTGTCTTGTAACGTCTCTGTCAAACTATCACGGAGCCTCTCTCTGCATTTTCCTCGAAAATCAAAATGATGGATCTGGTCAACTGGTCTCTCAACGCAATTGATCAAATTTTCTCAACCATGAAAATGGGTAAAGGAGAACCCGGCTGCCCTGACGGAACCTTCCCGGCCGGCTACACGTTGGACTCCTGGTACAGCTGGAGGATCGTGTGCCTGTCCGTGCTTTCCGTGGAGGATGTCGAAGATTTGTACCTATTTGGATTTATGATGGCAGGTTTTCTGCTGATTGGCCTGGGCACCTTCCTGTTCCCTCGTGAAGAAAAGATGATGCTACAATTGGCAACCGACAAGCTCATCGCCCTGACTAACGGATGGGGCAGGGCCGCCCACACTCAGACTCAAGCGATTTGCGAGCTCAACCGCAAACTGGATGCGGTTTTCGAGCGCTCTCGCATACTGGATACCAACTTGGAGAAGCTGGCGGCCCACGGGGCCTAGTTTGGAGTTGACTTTTTTCCCTCCTCCTCCTTCCCTATCGTTTTTCAGTTGTTTTTCATCTTGGCCACTGAGAGTGGACGCTGGCATGTATGTTGCCGCTGCTCTCCGGGGGTATGTGTTGTTTGTTCTGTTTTTTGTTTTGTTTTATGTACAGTGTCCTTGGGAGACTTGAAAGGCACTTTTAAATAAAATGTATTATTATTATTACTTGTCTTTGAGGTGTATGTGAACAGTTGAGTCCTGTCCTGAGTTGGCCCTCCTTTGTTGGGCAGTGAGAGAGTGATTTTACCCCCCCCCAATGGTTTGAGAGGGGTAAAAGAAGCAATTTTTGTCAACCTGGAAAAACCATCACTCAACAGAGGAGGTGGACTCAGACACAACCTATCACCCACATACAAAGCACTTTTAAGAACAATACCCAAAAGATGTACCTCAGTTTCACATAACAAACAGGCAGGTGACCGAAACCGTTCTGATGAGGACCACAACGACCCATCAGACTCTTAACGACTGTTTACACTTTCCCAGTTGACCCCAAGGCCCCACCCAACAGGGTGGACCTGAAGTAGCTTTATTCTTTCACACCTAGAGTATATATTTGCTGTACTCCCCACCACCAGTTAAAACTGAAGAAGCCTCTTGGATGAGAGGTTAAACGTCTTCTTGTAGAAAATTCACGTCCAGTTGCCTAACAGAACTTTCAAACTTGACCATGACCTGGATGACTGAGAATCTTCATAGACAATGATAGCTATCGTTACTTCACATATTCAATATTGCTTTTCTATGATTATTTCTGATTTTAATATTATATATGTAATATTTCTGTCACTAAAGCCTAACAACCAAAATTAGATTAAAGGACAAAAGGTTTAGTGTTACTTTTAAAGTAATTTAATAATTATGGAGGGAATATTTAAAAGGAAATGTAGACTTAATAGTAAACCACTACTTCCAGTCAGTTAAAATATGTACTGCGAACAAATCACTGCGAACTAAACCATCCATCCATTTTCATCCGCTATATCGCGGGGGCAGCAGTCGCCACCCAATTCACATTGGGATTCTAACTTGGAACCCTGGAGTTCCACACCAATGACAGAGACATTGCCTCTGGGCCAAAGCGCCACTCTGCGAACTAACATTTCACTGTAAACTAATCTTTCACTACGAACGAATTACTCTCTGCAAACTAATCTTTCACTGTGAACTAATCTTTCACTACGAACTAATTACTCTGCAAACTAATCTTTCACTGCAAACGAATCACTCTCTGTGAACTAGTGATGTGCGGATCGATCCTGAAATATCGATACTTCCGATTCTGGATCTTTATGCTCTGAAATCGATTCTGAAATCAAAATATCGATACTTTTGATACTTACGCATTCTGAGATGAGGTGTATCCTAAACAGAAACATGGTGAAAAGTATCCAAATTATTGAGATGTTGTCTAAGTGACGCTCGGTTGGTGGGACTACTTCTTCTTCCGCCTGGGTGTGTGCGTCATGCTTAAGCACAGGGGCTCTACTCCGTGCTCTCACTCAGTCACTATTGATGGGAATTTCGGCTCTTTTTTGGAGAACCGGTTCTTTTGGCTCGGTTCACTGAAAAAATCCGACTCTTTCGGGTCCCAAATGGCTCCTCAGATTATTTATTTTATTTTTTTATTTATTTTTGTTTTACAAATAACATGTTTTCAGAGTTTGAAACATTGTTTTGACATATTTTATATGATTGTGTTCTCAAGGTTTTCTATTGTTGTGTTGACTGTATAGTAAATGAGGCAGCTACCTCAGTACACTCCAGAGTTTAAAATAAATAAATAAATAAAAACCTCAGCCTCGGATTCTTAAAGAAGCTATGATTTGAAATACACATGTTTTATTTAAAAGACAAATGATAAAATATCGATAACGGTATATGCGATACCAGCCCGAATTTTACTCGGTATCGGATCGGAAAGGAAATTGGTGGTATCGAACATCACTACTGTTAAGTTTCTGTATTATTTATGTTCCACAAGTCTGTGAACTAATCTTTCGCTGTGAACTAATCTTTCGCCGTGAACTAATTTTTGCTGTGAACTAATCTTTCGCTTCGTTCTCGCAGATTAGTTTCATTTGTCACGTGACAGAGAGCTCGGGTCTCTTTTGCTCTCATTCATCTTCACATTGTGGTGTGTTTTTATTTCTTAGCTTTTCGCATGGTTATGGCATTTTGTGTACTTTGTAAACTTTGTCAAGCAAACCATGTTGCCTTCAGTATTAAGTAAGCCCTACTCTATTTAGTGTCAGAGAACCGCAGCCTTGTTTACAACGCCCACAATAGGGCTAAAGCGCCACCTGATTAGTTCGAGATTCGTTCACGACTCGTTCATTTTACTGTTCGAGAGTCAAAGATTCGAATCAATAAAAAGAGTCGGTCTTCCCATCACTAATGTACCGCATTCAAACTTTTGGCAGTCATAAGTAAAAATAATCCCATGACCGACCAAGAATCAGAAACCTAACTCGAAAAGCTATATTCCTTACTTAATTCCGAAATATTCCTATTTAGTTCAACCCAGTTCGGGATTTTAATAGGAAGTCTCGCGACATGTGACGTGATCTCGCAGAAGAAAAGAACCCTTCATCCGCAGTTGCCTCCCCTCTCTTCAGTCGTTTAACTCGGAAGTTGTGAAATGGCGTCAACACAGGGTGAGTAAAGAAAGCTAATACATGTGCGGATGCACCATCGCTTACTGCGTGTAATCAAGACGTAACATGCAGGTTTTTCATATTTTCAGTTCATATTACACATTTTCGACAAACAATAAGTGAAATACCGTGTAACGTTGCTAATGCAAACCACGGCCTAGTCATATTGGCTGCTCGAGCCGTTGAGGCGGTTTCATTCGGTTCATATATGATTCATATTTGAGTAAACTTGTACGTTTACCGAACTGGTATCTTTAATAAATGTATTTCACAGTCGCATGTGTAGATATTGTTCCTGCTTCAAACGCTCTCGGTCAATTTGAAGTCAAATGTTTTGAAGTTCGGATAATGGCTGGCGCGCATATGCCGCTTTGTTAAAGCTAACAACGTGTTTCCTGTGCTTTCACAGATTACAGCTCTTACAATCAAGCCAACGCCCAGCAGGGGTAAGTAACTTCTTTATTACTATCCGAATAGTAGTTATTAAGATAAAAAAAACACCCAGCTCTACGAAAGAAATGCATAATTAATAGTCATTAGGCATAGGGGAAAAAAACGAGTGCTCTACCAGTTATTAAAGTAGCTCCTTACAAATAGTGGGAAATTAGTTTGATTTGAACATTTGTACTTAATATAATAATGGTTTAGGGTTTGTAATTAGAAAGTGTTTTGTAAATCACAAGGAAGTCTTATGTGTTAGCATTATGTTAGTTTTTAAAAAGAAGGGGGGGCTGGGGAAGAGAGCACTACACTCCTGACCAAAATCTTAAGACCAGTTAAAAAATTACAAGAATTTACATTTTGCACTATTAGATTTTAAGAAGGTTCAAAGTAGAGCTTCAAAATGCAAAAAGAAGATATGGAAGCAAGAGACAAAGATTTGAGCAGGTAATGTGTTGAAAACAACAATTTAACTGAAACAGAGTGTTCATCAGCAGATCAAAAGTTTAAGACCACAGCCTTTAAAAGCGAAAATCTGTAAACAAATCCCTATCATTTCCTGTCAAGAAATGACACTGTCAAGATCTCTTGATGGCAAAGGCAAAAAAGCTCACTGTCTTTGAACGTGGTAGGATTGTTGAGCTGCATAAGCAAGGCCTCTCACAACGTGCCGTCGCTGCTGAGATTGGACGCAGTAAGATATCATTTTACATTTCTTAAGAATTTGAGGGTTATGAAACAAAAGTCAAGTGGCAGACCCCAAAAAATCTGACTGGTCCTGAGCTGGAGGATCCAATTGGCTGTCTGTGAAGACACGGGACAATCCTTGTCCCAAATTAAGACCATTACTGGTGCTGACTGCAGCCCAATAACCATCACATGGCATCTGCGATGGAGGGGCTTCAAAAACAAAAAAACATCTTCAAAAGCCACTTCACCTTCAATGCCTCAAAATTGCCTGCTTGGACTTTGCAAGGGACCACCAAACATGGGACATTTTATTCTGACGAGAAAAAATTTAACCTTGACTGTCGTGGTAAGGTTTTACCACCCCGGGTTCGTTGATCTAGAACTTTCACAAAGTACAAAGAAAAGACAAAGATCGTTGCTCGAGTTCACCTGTGCACAGGGAGGGTCCAGCGGAGAGTCAGGGGGTTGACTGCTGAATCCTGCTCTCTCCCCAAACTCAGGCTCTTTTATTCTCTCCAACATCCAGGGGGTACATGTCAAGTGGTACAGACTTCATTTGTTCTACGCACACACATACATTTTGACAACAACATCTACTCCCTTGGTTTCTCATCCTGTTCTTATCGCACCTAGGTGCTGTTGTTGTGACCCTATGCTCTAACCATGAACCTAGCCGTTGTCAAATTGTGATCTACTAGTTTCTGATCCCCATCTCACCAAGTACTCCTCTTGTAACAACAAACCTTGGTGTACCTCAACCTTGCAGCTCCTTTTCTTACAGCTGCATATTTTCAGTTTTAGCTTTAAGCAGCATTTTATGTTCAAGCTGGTTATATGTTTTAGCACATCTCTTATGATTGTTTATTCTATTATAAAACATGATTATATATGTTGCATACTTCTATAAACTATGAACATATGAATACATTTCATCAACATGACCATCAAGGTTAAGTTTTTTTATCGGCCCTGATGGCTTCTAACGTTACTGGCATGATAAGGAGGTGCCACGAGATGTTTTCGACACACACCACAGTGGAGGGGGTGTCATTGTGATCTGGGGTGCTTTTTCTTTCAATGGAACAATGGAGCTCCAGGTTGTGCAGGGGCATCAAACAGCTGGCTATGTGGAGATGTTGCAGTGGGCATCCCTCATT